GTGGACCCGGTCAATTGGGCGTGGCGGCACCCCTTTCACGGTGGATTCGACCTCGACGTCCGCGCAGATGGCCCCCACGGCGGCGGTGGCAGAGATTTGGGTTCGAGGAGAGAGGCGACGCTTATTTGGGTCGTGCATCGCGTCCCACCCAAAATAAGTTCCTCGTTTGCGTCGTCTGTTGGACCGCGTTTTCCACCGATAAAACAACCTGGAGTAGGCATTTTGGGTTTGCATGCCGTGATGCATGAGTTGTTGGGGACAGTCTTATCGAAACGATGAGATGCAGATATGGGGTCCCTTGCTGCGGCGGGACGGGGCCAAGCTGCCACTTCGCAATCGCTGTCGAGGCCATCAGGCCAGGCCCCATCTCCTGTGCTGCTGCGGCTGGGCCATCATCGAGTCAACAGGATCTTGTACCATTAATCAAGCGCATTAATCCCCCAGAAACTGCCCACGCTAAACAAAATCTAAAAATCTGTTGGATGGGAAACAAACAGTGATGTCTTCTTCTCTTGAGCAGTTGAGCCTGCTACACTCGTACACCCAAGTAGACTTACAGTTATGTCCAAGCCCATGTATCAAAGCAGCAAGGATTTTTCTTCTTCTATATCTCTTTCTGTTTTTTTTTTTTCCTTTTACTATAAGTACGGCAACGCTGGACTTGTTTGTGCGTGGCCTTGAGATCCGCCAAACAATCATGAACCGGCCGGGGAGTAGGGAAAGCAACAGAGCAAATTCCAGCGCAGGGAATGACCGCATGAGAGCGATGCGATGCAGGTGCCAAGATGAGGCAGGAAGGAGGAGCCAGGGTGTCAACCTGGCCGGTTAGGACCTGCCCCTGCATCCGGGGCGTGGAATATCAAAAGATCTTGTCACTTTCAAGGGAGCGCTACAAACCGTTGTGTCCACATTCATGGGGTTTTAAGGAGAGAGTGGCTACCTAACCAGTAGTTATGGGTTACTACAGTCCTTTTACCTGCTGTTTTTTCTCGCTTTCAATCCGAAATTGGTCCATTTTGATAGAGTTCTGGTCACCCTAAGGGCTCGTTCGGTTGTGGGCCTGGATTCAATCCACCTTCCTTTCTAAAATGTGTGCACCAATAGGCTATTTAAGGATCTTGCGGAGGCTACATGCAGCAAAAAAACTCAGTCATCTCGCCTGGAATCAATCCTGACCTCTAGTGTCCCGGAACAAATCCGTTCGGATGCTATGTGCAGAAGAACATGCGGAGACTACGTGAAACGGAATAAATCCCCATGGACGCTTCCTGCAACTTAGCAATCACCCTGCACACAGCTGTGTAGATTGGTTCCGGAATGAATCCCCATGGAATTAATCCGTTGCAAACGAACAAGCCCTAATAAGGAACCAATAACAAAAAGGAAACTTGTATCCCTTATTGTGTCGTTGATCCCGCACCGAGCCTACACATGCTGAGTTGCTGACATGCCAAGCCACGCGTTTCTCTCAATATGCTAACCAAGATGAAGAGAAGCGTCGGTTGCTTCCACCTGTCTCTCCTCCACGGCTGCACCAGATGATCGATCCTACGCGCAGTCAATCGCTGATGGGCGAATGCAAACCGTGCTCCGACCCATCTCTTTTTTCTGAAGAAACGTGCAACCAATAATCATCTGTGTGTAAATGTTCGCTGCTTGCCAATCTCTTTAAAGTCCACAGGAAACAAAACTATTAGTCATCATGTTCACTTGATCGTATCAACCATGCTTATCAGTTATGACAGTGTTTTTCTCTCACAACAAAACAGCATCAGCTGATTTATAAGTCACAAAAACAATTAAGCGAACAGGGTCCATATAAGTCTGGATGCACGGGCATGCAGTCAGTCAATCACTGGCCTTTGACCCTTGTTGCTGCCAAAAAGAAATGCACCATGGGCTGGTGGCGGCAAGTTGGCAACCGTCGCACGTCCCAGTGCGCTTGACGTGGAAGCTATCGGTGCCGAGATGGCGCGAGCAATCTGCAGGCGACAAGCATCTATAGAAAACAGATTCAGGCGATGCCCGTTCGGGTCCGGCCGTCCCCTGGTCCCCTGTCCGTATACGTCCTTGCAGAGAAGGAAGCAAAAGACCATTTCGTTCCTAGAAAAATGAAAAAGTATATCCCTATACATACCATGCAAAAGGAGCGCTAATATATACGGAGTACTACTACTCCACTCCAGACTCCAGTATAGAGTACACTACTCCTAGTTGATATATACAGGACGCGTCAGCAAATATTTTAATCATCTTCGGAGGTGGGAGGACAATACATCAGCACGCAAACACTTGACCGTACGAGTACAGCATAGGCCAGACCGCCATGGACGATGAAAGTGACCACCGCCCGGATTAAATTGTACTTTAAGCAAAAGATTTTAGGTAAAGCCACCAGGCAATGATCTCGTAACGCTCAGTGGACGCAGATGCAGCCCCATGGCAGGATGAACATTGAACAGCTAGCTACTTCTTGTAGTAATCGCCGGCAAAGATTTGCAGCGAAAAGCCAGCGTTGTGACAGGCGACAACTAGTGCCAATAAGCAAGCACTCCGCGTCCACGATGGGGGAAAAGCCAGGCGCCGCCGGCTTATCAACTGAACCTTGATCCGTCCGTCCCCGGCGCTGCAGGTTGATGTGCCATTCCTTTTCCGGGGGCAGCTGCAACCGCGCTTATTTCTTTTTTCGGCAGATCGCGATGGCAGTCGCAGCTGGCAGCTGGGAGAGTCGGAGAGAAGAGAAGAGAAGCGGCCCCTGGATGCCGGACAGGCCACCTCGCCGGTCTATCGAAACGATAACGATGAATGAGGTGCATGCAGATAAGAGGGCCATACCAATCCCATGCGAGCTTGGGGCGACGGCGCCAAGGTGCCACTTCGCATGCAATCGCTGTCAAATAGGAGTATATACCACCTCCTGCGCGACAGTTCGAGTCAACCAAGATTGTATTAGCAAATGGTTATTAATTCATCGTTATCCTCCGGGAAACTATATATTGTTATTTTGTTGTTAATCGTTGTTAGCTTGGCACAGCACAGAGAGGGAGAAACGAGCGCGCGGAAGAAACAACTACTGCCTGTTTCCTTGGTGGAGAAACGGAGGAAGGACGCCGCCAACTTATGTCCCGTTTAGTTTCGAAAATTTTTGGCTTTTCGTTACTGTAGCACTTTTGTTTTTATTTGGTAAAAATTATCCAATTATGAACTATTTAGGCTTAAAAGTTTCGTCTCACAATTTCTCAGCTAACTGTATAATTAGTTTTTTTTTGTCTACATTTAGTATTTCATGCATGTACCATAAAATTTGATGTGACAGAGAATCTTGAAAATTTTTTTATTTTGGCTTGGAACTAAACGGGGCCTTACAGCTCGTACCTAGTGGTACTGGTACGTCCAACTAGCACGTGCATCAACGGCAGGAGCAATGGAAAAATAACAGCCTGTTCACTCGTTAGTTTCAGCAGGATTTATCAGCCAGCCAAAAATATTTTTCTCTTATAATAAATCAGCGTGAGCCGAACTTATCTGCCCATAAACCAAGCAGAGACCTAGGCCTTGTTTAGATTATAAATTTTTGCAATCCGAACACTGTAGCACGTTTCGTTTGTATTTGACAAATTTTGTTCGATCATGAACTAACTAGGCTCAAAAGATTCATCTCGTAATTTACAATCAAACTGTGCAATTAATTATTTTTTTACCTACATTTAATGCTCCATACATATGTCCAAAAATTAATGTGATGAAAAAAGAGTAAAAAAACTTAGAATTTTGATGGTATCTAAACAAGCCCTAACGTCACAAAACGAGGGCCTGACACGGACCGATCAATCATATAATAATTCATAAAGCTGGCAGGAGGGGGCAAGGAAAACAACGCGCCAACTTGCGCGGGGCTTGAAAACGATGCGTCCTTTGGTTGCGTGGCTGATAACCTGATAAGGTGGAGGCGCCGCATGGAGCACACAAGCGGGCAGCGGAACCGGCCCTGCCCCTGCCTCCGGGGTGAAATATCCAAACATTTTGTCACTTTCAGCGAAGCATTAGAAATAGAAGAAACCATTGTGCCAGCATTCACTGTGCCGTCTCAAAGGCATCGCATGAACCCAAAACTTAAACTAATTGTTGAGTTAAACATATATAGGACGCGGTCGGACTAGACAGATCCATTGGAAGTCTTGAGAAGCATCAAAACAGCAAACCAAACCACGTAGACCTGCAATAATCTCATGAGATTGAACCCAACAACGCCCGTGGGCTGTGGCTCATAAGTACAAAATGTGCTGAATGGTAAAGAGTATGGAAGGCATTGTTGATAGACACTGACCATTTCTATACTGATGACATATAAGATACAGTTTCCAACAGATTACACTTGTCTTCCAGAATGCTACAGCACCACTAATCCCCATTAAAACTTTTGACAGATCCTAAAGACACTGGCATGTTCTCCTTTTTTCCTAGTTTCCATCAATTTGAGATGAATTTCCCAACAATGCCCACAAAGCAAACCTCAATCTATGGCAAAATGACTATAAACACCCTATACATCCAGTTGCCATTCTGTAGAACAAACAGATTGCTCGTGTCAGATAATGCACGGACTGTAGCACATCGAGCAGACAACTAGTCTTTTGACACAATGAAAACAAAATATAATACATAAGGTATACCCAGAAAAACATATTGAAACCAAGAACTAAGTAATGCAGACATGTTCCTTGTAATCTGTAGCATATTCCTAAAATGTTCCAAATGCTGCAATGGCCAACTACCAGAATGCTTCAATCAATTAGGACTGTTTCCCATCAAAATTAGCAAAACTGAGCTGCGTTTGTTGTACAGTAGCCTTAGCCTTATGGTAACAATAGGGAACCTCTGCACCATATGTGTCTCCCCGCGAGCTATAGGGTTAGGAGAAAACAAAACATCAGTCAAGTGCTAACAAGAACAGACTAGTAACTACTACAAGGGCATCCATCACACACCTTGAACAAGTTTCATTGGCACCATGACGAAGGTGGCCTCATGGATACATGCACTTCATGTTCTTCAGGACCAACACGGAATTTTGGAACAATAATCTCCAGGCCTGTCCCTGTTTCATCACTGTATGCTTCCAAAGTAGCATCTTCAGGGATCCGGGTAGGCAGTGGAATTTCCCGGACAAACTCTCCGGGTGGGCAATGCTCAGGAGCAGGATCCGCCAACTTGAAAGTCCGATCATGCCTTTTCAGGAATGGCATCCGGCCAACACTAGTGCACGATACCTTAACAATCCCATTTGTAAGAGTGTTCTTCCATGAAACTTTCACCTTCTGAAAATCAGCAAAAGGCAGACTGATAATGATCAAGTAGCCCTTGCTATCCTCATATATTGTTTTTGCAGCAGTTACTGGTCCAGAGGCATGGCGCATCACACCCAAGAAGTCATTCATCCATGATGGCTCAAAGGTGTGGCTCACATCCATGTCTTGGGCCTTGTCTGAATTCGAATTGCTGCAATCCTCTTCCATTGCAGCCGGTGAGGAATCCTTCCTGCGCTTGTTACAGGTGGCCGTGATCTCCATGCCATCCCCAGAACTGTGATTGGATGGTTGTGTCGAGAGGTTAAGGCCAGAACCGTTCAGCAACTTCTTGTGGTGCCCATGTGAGCTGCTCTTTGCAGGAGCCGCGGTTGCTGGCCTCTCGAGCTCAAAGTCTGTGCTCGGCAAATTCCTCCAAGACTCAAAATCACTAGCCTCGGTTGGGACTGAGAAATTGGCATCCCTCCCAGTGAGCTCCATCCACCTCTTTAAATCAGCCTCAGGTACACCTGCCAAGTTTGGTGCCCTCACGATTTCGATCCCATGAAGACACTGCGGGTTAGAGAGCCCACGATAGTGCTTGCGCTGCATCCGGTGTGAGCGCACAAACCCTTTGTCTGCGCTGAAAGGGAACTGTGGCTCCCCAAGGCGTGAGTGCCCATTCATGAAGCTCCTCAGCTGCATCTTCCCCAGGGCATTCTCCGGCCGCTCCTTAAACACCCACATGTACATGTTCTCCATGTCGTGCTGCACCAGGAAAGCATCCAGTGTGGCACTATTACCGTTCCCGCCTGTGGTGGTGGTGGTGGCAGCCTTCGCCTTGCCACCCTTGTCGGCGAACATGACTGGCTTGAAGTAGTGGGTGAAGAAGAACCACGCTCCCCAGATGCTATCATTCCTCTTGACACACTTGCGCGCAGCGCTGGAACCGGAGCCCTTGGTGTGGGACACAGCGACCATGGTGGTCGCGGCAGCTGCTGGGGCCGAGACAGGCCCGGCGGCGGCGGGCGAATCCGAGTCGTAGTGCTGCGGGCCGCCGAGGCCGACATCTAGCATGTCAACGTTGGCGTCGTGCGACGCCGGAGGGGGCGGAGACGGGTCGGCGGCGAGGGGGAGGTTGATGTCAGGGGGGGCGACCGCCGCGGCATGTAGGCAGCGGCGGAAGGGCCCCTGTGGCTGGAGGAAGAGGTCGAAGTCGTCGTGGGAGGCGGTGTCCATGGAGAGGAAGGTGGAGGGGCCCTGGTGCGGGTGGTGGGCCGTGGCGGTGTCCATGGAGAGCGCGGTGAGCAGCGACTCGCCCATGGCGGCGGCGGCGGCAGTCGTCCTCCTGGCGGCTCGCTCCTCGTCCGCCTGCTGCTCCCCTTCCGTCGGCGCTACGCTGTCCAAATCGTCGGCGCTTCCTCCTCCACCGCCTCCGCACGGAGCGCTCCTCTCCTCCGAATCGCTCCACGAGCATCAGTTAGCGACCAGGCTTCACACCTCCCTCGCGTCCATCCGCCGGCCGAGAGGAAATGGGGGCGGTGCTGTTACATTTCAAAATCACGCGGAAAACCGGATCAATACCCCATCCAGGACCCGAATCTAAGAAGCAGGAATCCGCAGGAACAGAGATCCGGTCCGGCCGAGAGAGGAGCACGTACCTACGCAGGTCCAAGAAACCCGGAGCTCTCAAATCGACGAACCGCCTCCACCATCCAGCCGAACGACGGCCCAAGGATCCCTCCCTCCCTTCCCCTCCTCCTGCTGCTGCGGTGCGTTGCAATCAAATCAAATGGGAAAAGGAAAATCAAACGTAACCGAATCGGCGGGCGGGGGCTCGTCGCGGTCGATGGATGAGCACAGCGGGTGGGGGAGGTGGGAAGCGGGAAGACGGTAACGGAGGCGGGGAGAGTTAAAGGGGAGGCGCCGGTGGGGGCGCAGCCAGCCCGGTGAGCCGCGGCCTCCCCCAGAAGGAGCCTGACGCGGGGGTGGGGTGGGGGGCCGTTACGGAAGGGGACGGCCCGCGCCTGCTGCCTGTCGTGTGCCTGGTAACTCGCCGCGGCCAAGCAAGCGGTGCGGGTGGCGTTGGGTTGGGGTGGGGTGGTGCGGCCGGTGTGGGTGGATGGGCTCGCCCCTCGAGTCTCGCTCGCGCATCCCTGCTTGATCTCCTTGTTTTTGCTTCTTTTTGTATCGGTGTGCCACTGCCACCCATCTTGCTCTTGCTCGCCGATTTTTTTTCCTTTTCTTTTCGGGGGGTGAGGTGTTTCCCTAGCTTCTTGGGATATACGGAGTACATAGTACTACTGTACTAGATTTAATAAAAAATAATAATGCAGATGCAGGAGACGTGGCATGGTTGGTACGCAGTGATGACTTTTGTTACTGCGAAATCACGTCGACGACCTCCAGGATTGTGTGTATTATTGCAGTTGGATTAAGTGGTACGAGTACCCAAAAAAAAATTCTTCATTAGTACGGGAAAAAACAGTATACGTCCTGCCTGCCATGGGTTGGGTTGACTAGAGAGATAGCGGCTTTCCCTTGATAGCTGGGATCTTTCGTCGGGAAATAGTAAAAGGATAGCTGGGACCTGGGAGTACAAGCCGCGCCTGTGTCCTGTCCTACGGATGTCCAGCAGCTACTGTGCTGTGGAAGGGTTCTCCTTGACCTTCTTGTCCAACAAAATCTCCTTTTCAGAAGACAGATTTGATCAGTACAGTAACAGTATTGCTGCCATCAGGGAAATTGCATCGAACAGCTCTAGCAATTACTCCCGCGGTTCAGTTCATATAGGTTGACAATATTAACCAATACTCGACGGTTTTAATATTATAATTCAAACATGATGCAGTTAGATTTGAAATGAAACATGTGTACTTATCTAAATAAAGTAACAATCACAAGCTTATCATCATTGACAATAGAATATCAAAATAAATAATCAAAGGTCGTGTTATATTTAATTGTATCTTATCAATCCTAGGGGATGGAGCAGTTGCTGCTCCTACGCACGTCGACGGTGCCCCTTTGTTCAATGCTTAATGGGCACGTGTGCCCTTGTTTTTGCAACCATGTCCCTCCCATTTGTGCTCATTACCGCAGTATTTGTGGGCGTATTTGGCTAGGCTCCACCCGAGCTACTCTGTTGTCGGAGTTGGAGTCAGAGCCAAAGGGGAGTTGCAAATCGTGGCTTCGCCTCCATACGCACAAAAGGACTCAAGCTCCTCCTCGCGTCACACATAAGCACACTCTTGTTGTTGCTATTTGGTGTGACTCCGCTGCAAGAGCTGCCGCGGAGCCAGAGTCAGAGTGTCAGAAACACGCCATGTATGTTCTCATTTTCGAAATTGGTTCTTCTAACTTAAGTTAGGGGAACTTGGGTCACTAGCCGGTAGATCTAATTGTAAATGAGTCAAGTTCCGCCCGACTTTTAGAGGATACTCATCTTCTCACACCGTGCACGACTATCCAGACCAACCATGCCATGCATTGTTTGTCTTTATTTGCATCTAATCCACGTAGATTATGATCTCTTTGGCAGAGCTTTTGTTATGGCTTCTCCGTAGGCTTAATCTAAAGCCCTACCAAACGTACACGCACGAAAAACAACTTGTGGAGCTAAGCCAAGAGAAAAAACAACGAAGCCGAAGCTATTTTCGTATAGAAGCTGAAAACACAAAAATGTAGTCTTTTCTATCTTGGTTGTCTTTGGAGAAGCCAAGACTTTATCAATGAGAACTATACAAGAGCGATTCGTATAGTCTCGACTAGCAAGTTACATGCTAGGAGGCTTGGAGCTTTGGTTGATGCATGTTGCCTGCCACTAAACGCTCCCACAAAGTGTCAAACCCAGGACCCGAGGTGTTACTGCCCTTGTAAGCTATAACCACTAGGCTGTTTAGCTCCCACTGGTTGCAGTTTTCTACTGGTACTCTTTCTGTTTTGTTACATGCCACATTAGTTTTATCCTTAAGTTAAATATTATTATCTTCGACCATCTATTTGAACAAACCTTTATAGTTTCACAACATATACATAATATATTACTCAAGTATTTCTCATAGTGAATCTACAAACATAAATCTTATGTCTAATTAAAGGTACAAATATTGGACTTAGGACAAAGCTAATACGACATATAAAAGAAAGGAGATAATATGTTTTTGGCTAGTTATAGGCAACACGTTTGTTGATAGTGAGGTATTAACGATGACATTATCAGTGTGTTTGGATCGGCAATCTGACCTATACGAAATCATCCGAACCTAGCTCCAAACTACCGATTTGTTTGGTTTAATTGCGTAGCCATCTTTTTTTGGCCTTCTTCGCAAACTCACTTTACAGGACGTGCTGGCTCCCGAAGAAATCACTTTTTTTAGCATCGGCTCCCGAAGAAATCACTGAACAACCCTATTCCCCATAGCATGAATCCATGACGAATCAACTAAATTCCGGAGGGGACCATGCCACAATCCAAACATGTCATATATATTGTAATATATAAGTCTTATAAAATCTATACATGCTCAGTCTTCCATAGGTGTTCTAGAAGTATAGTGTGCGTGCGTGTAACTTGTGGACCGTATTTGGTAAAAAAAAAAAAAAAAAAAAAAAGATATATGCTCATCTTCTAGTTAGGTGTTAAAGCCATCAAATAATTTTGCGTAAAAAACAGTTTGAAAATACGATATATGCAAAGGGAACACTCTACATCTACCATGTTTTTTAACTCATCATCTTTCATGAATCACGATTCCATAGATGTTAGGATTTTTCTTTTTTTTATTTAATCACAATACACACACAAACACTCATGCATGAACACATGTGGACACATATATTTTACCTCTATAGGTATTTTTGAAAGACCGACACTAGACCGACAATAATGATTTTTCATCAATGATTAGGTTATATTTTCTACAATGGATAGTTTGAGATTACATAAAATCACTATACATTACGGTGGGATCCTATAAGGCTATATAACCACGAGGGATAAGAATTCTAAAAATAATAAGAAAATTTGTACAAAGAAACCTGAGCCATAGGTAAGGACGTAGATGGGTACAAATGGTATTTTTTTTCTAAGTCAGCTAACTAATTACAGTCAAATGCTATTTTAGTACATTTCATTTTCCACTCAAATTATGTGAAATGACATTTTAAACATTGTTTTATTCCTTCCGACTCTTGTTGTTTGTTTGTTTTTGTTTGCAGTCAAATTTGACAGTCCGCTCCAATCTGCAATCACACGTTCTAGCGCTGTGATGTATGACCGTCTTTTGCGTCAACACCGCTATAAATGATTGTGTGGGCACCTAGAGGCTAGGGGACATGAAATGAAAAAGAAAAGTTATCGACTACCAAATTGTGGATCTCCGTTTCGATACAAAAAGTGTTGTTTTCCTACAGTGGGCTGAAATAGCCAGTGACCAGTGTCGTGAGTTGTCATTTTAGCGCAACACCGTCCCCCTTGATTACTGATTATTACCGTGCTGACGTGACCGCCAATTCATTGCGTGCGACCGCGTGAGCTCGCGAACAGCATCAGCTGGTCGCGTGCACGTGCTTCATATCCATCCGTCTTGTACGCGTGGTCGCGTGCGCCCTGGCCGCTCGTCGCACACCGGCCAGGTCTACTCCTGTGGGCTGTCCGGCTGTGGCCTGTGGGCGTGCGCGAGCGGCAACTTTTCTTCTCCCCAGGCGTGTCCCCGCGGCTTTGCTCGGGCAAACCGCGGCATCTCCATGTGGTTCAGCCGAGCCCGGGGGCGGCTGTTGGGTCATGGGTGGCGGTGGGTAGGCTGGCCGCTGGCTGGCGTGAACAGCGGAGAAAAGAGGCCCGGGGCTGACGACGACGGATTATTTATGCCGCGATAAGAGAGGTCTCGGGCGGAGGATGCCAATCTGGGGAGGCGCTTCTCTCCAAAGTCCACGGCGCCGGAGCGTGCGGGGCGGAGGGCTTATCTGCTAGCTGGGCTGTGAGGTGCGTGACCGCGATGTGAGAAGGCGGCCCGGGGCTTGCCGGCAGCCTAACGACGCCTTGTTAACGCTGTTTAGGCGGCGGGGCAGCGGGGGCTGTAGTAGCTTTGCACCACTTGTAGGCTGTTTGCTAGTACGTCAGGTATTGGTTGGTGCTGCAAGGGTCTTAAACGTAAAAAATGGTTTGGATCACGTTGCTACTGGAGGTGCAGAATATGGCCATGTTCGCTTTGCTGAAAAGCTATGGCTGAAAGAACTGTTTACTGATTTGTTGCGATAGAAAAACATTATTCGTTCGCTGAAATAGTACGGCTCAGAAGACAAGCGAACAGGGCCTATAC